AGTGTTCGTAAGCTGCTGACTGTCACTACCTCGATGCCAGAGTGTTTGCCAGTTTTGGGTACTCTAGCCAAGATGAGTTTTGCTGAGTCACTGAGTTTTTGTCAACCTGAGTCTTAACATTGTTTTTTTGTCTTTGCCTCTCGGCAGGAAGACATCCTGCAAACTGGATTTTTTTTCGGACCTTCTCTCCCTGGAATGATCAACCGAGCTTCAAACTGAGCTGAGGATACAAACCAGAGGTTTGGATCCACTTTTCCCTGAGGAAACGTTTGAGCTTCACACTGAGCAAGGGATTCATCTGCACAACAGTCTGTTCATGTACCGTAGGAAATCTGAGTGGCAGTCAGTCTTTCTCCGTTTATCTACAAGCAACCGCATTCTGGGTAACCCTGTCCGCCCTCCTCTGTATGAGACAAACACCGGAACACATTCCTCACCTAATCTCTGGAAACGTGAATCTGCCAACCTCTTCTCCTCTTCAAGTTCGAGAGTCAATTCTCCCACTGAACCTGAACTAACCGCAGTGTCTTCCCCTCACCTTTCAGTTCTGGTTGAGCAGTGTTCAGAGCAACACTGGAACCTCCACAAAACTTCTCAATAAACCTGTTAAACTTTTTCCCTTCTCTCTGGACTGGTTTTATCTGCATGTGGGTCCGAGCTCTTGATAAAATCATGACAGACGGTTTTAAAACACTGTCAGGCAACCTTTTTATGACAGATTTTAACAACTAGTTGTTTTTTTATTTTTTTTTAAATAATTTTCTATTCTTTTTAAGCTAACCAGAGCATGTCAGAAAAGCTAGTCTAGATATATTTTGATCCTTGTTTTAATAAAAGAGAATGAAAATATAGTAAGATGGGAGTTACTGGGCTGATCCCATCAGGAGGAAGAGGTTTAAGATTAGCTTTGGATTTAATCCTGTATTTTTAGATTGTATGTATACTAGGTAAAATCATTGTTCCTTTGAAATAAATAAATAATAATAATATGATTGTCAGTAAATGCCAGTAGAACCTTGAATGTGATTATAACAGATGATCATTGGACAAAAGAGTACAGGATAAATAGCCAAAGTTCACTGAAAAACNTTTTTTATTTTATTTTGATTGAGAAGTGCTCTGCTTGGTTGAACTATGTAGAATAGATAGTGGGGTTTGTGTTTTATCTGAAAGAATCTTCTTGCTTCAACTTCCAATGATTTTAAGAGTTCTGAACTGAAGGCTAATGCTCATTTAGTGGACTTAGGTCCATCATGGTGTTACCATCTGTATCTTGAGAGACTGCTACAGTGGACTGTCTAGCACCGTTAGCTCCCAGCTATCTCTTGTCCAGCCACATTGTAGAGGCCACTTTACAAGCTCCAACCTTTCCTTTCTTTCTGCTGGACCCACTGAACCTGACCTCCTGGGGCCAAATACTCTAGCTCATTCTCGTTCAGCTTCATAACAGTTTAATACATTTCTAAGTCCTTGTCAATTTTTTACTTGAAAACCAAACAAAACTTCACTGTTTTGATTGCATTTTACATCTCTGCATCAGGGGGTCTGCACATTTATCTGCTGCTATGTCAAAGGACACCACAAATTAATTTAGCTATAAAACTTCAACATTCCTCAGAGATTCTTGAATGGATTCTTAACCCATTTTCCCCCTTTTTATTTGCTTGATTTACTTGTGCCAGCACTGTTTAGTGTATGTGTAAATACTAGATATAATAATATTCTGAAGGGAGTGAACCCAAAGAAAGGCCCCAGGCCCCGACAACATACCTGGGCAGGCGTACTGACTCCAATCATGATGAAGCGCTTCGAAAGGCTGGTAAAAGAACACATCATCTCCAGATTTGACCCAACATTTGACCCGTTCCAGGGTAAAGCCATAAATTGGTTTTACCTTGCTGCTCAGTGGGAGCAGCAAGGTAAAGTGGGAGGACTGCTGCCTTACAACAAGAAGGTTGCGGGTTTGATTCCTGGCCCGGGCTCTTTCTCTCTGAGCATGCGTGGGTTGTCTCTGGGTACTCTGGCTTCCTCCCACACTCCAAAGACATGACTGTTAGGTTAATTGGCCTCTCTAACTTCTCCCTGGTGTGATTGTGCACTTGAATGGACCGGTGACCTGTCCAGGGTGTACCTGGTACACACCCTGTACACCTTGTAGATGGCTGGAGATAGGCAACAGCACCCCTTGCGATCCCATTTGGGGATAAGCGTGTCAGAAAGTGGATGGATGAAAAATGCATAGTTTTATCCTCAATTTGAATGACCTATTAATTAGCTATATCTTCAAGTTCTAGTTATGTAATACATTCATAATCTTCTGGTAAACTTCCCAACACAAATCAAGCTGCTACTGCTGCTGTGATGGGCTAAAAACCTGACGTGGGAGGCAGATACCCAGTCAGCTTAAAGAATTTTACTGACTGTCCCTCCCATTTGTGAACAGTTTTATCAGGAACCTTCCCACATCAATCTGTGTAGCTCAATCTGACTTTTTCACGGCATCAGTCTGGCTTTTGCCATGTTAGGATCAAGCTACTGTTAGGAGGATTAGGTGGAGATAAATATAGCTATTTAGAGTGTAAATAACTCTAAATTTGAATGTGGCACCTTCATTTATGGTATCTATAGACGGTGTTATGACTCCAGTCTGTGTGGTCTGTGTTTTTGTGTGTTTGTCTTCCTTCCTCCACCAGGCGGTGCCTGGTTCTGATTCTCCTCCTCACGCAACTGCATGGGGTTACCTCGTTAACGGAGTGTTCTTAAGCTGCTTACTGCCACTACCTTGATGCCAGAGTGTTGGCCAGTTTTGGGTACTCTAGCCAAGATGAGTTTTGCTGAGTCAAACTGAGTGTTTGTCAACCCGAGTCTTAACATTGTTTTTTTGTCTTTGCCTCTCGGCAGGAAGTCATCCTACAAACTGGATTTTTTTCGGACCTTCTCTTCCTGGAATGATCAACCGAGCTTCAAACTGAGCTGAGGATACAAACCGGAGGTTTTGGCAGTCAGTCTTTCTCCGTTCATCTACAAGCAACCGCATTCTGGGTAACCCTGTCCGCCCTCCACTGTATGAGGCAAACACCTACTGGAGTCTAAGAGTCAACCTAATCTCTGGAAACGTGAATCTGCCAACCTTTTCTCCTCTTTAAGTTCGAGAGTCAATTCTCCCACTGAACCTGAACTAACCGCAGTGTCTTCCCCTCACCTTTCAGTTCCGGTTGAGCAGTGTTCAGAGCAACACTGGACCTCCACAAAACTTCTCAATAAACCTGTTAAACTTTTTCCCTTCTCTCTGGACTGGTTTTATCTGCATGTGGGTCCAAGCTCTTGATAAAACACTGTAAGGCAACCTTTTTATGAATTTTAACAACTAGTTTAAATAATTTCTATTCTTTTTAAGCTAGCCAGAGCATGTCAGAAAAGCTAGTCTAGATATATTTTGATCCTTGTTTTAATAAAAGAGAATGAAAATATAGTAAGATGGGAGTTGCTGGGCTGATCCCATCAGTAGGCAGAGGTTTAAGATTAGCTTTGGATTTAATCTTGTATTTTTAGATTGTATGTATACCAGGTAAAATCATTGTTCCTTTGAAATAAATAAATAATAATAATATGATTGTCAGTAAATGCCAGTAGGAACTTGAATGTGATTATAACAGATGATCATTGGACAAAAGAGTACAGGATAAATAGCCAAAGTTCACTGAAAAACCAAAAAATTGACTGTTTTGACTAGAAAATTGCCTGAAATTGGAAGGAAACCAGACTTTAGCTCGGTTACTTGAAGTTGTTTCCACAACTATCCAGGAGTCTTTATCAGTTTTTTCACCTCACTCCAGAGCAGTCAGGAGATGGAGCCCTGATGTATTTAAGCACCATGGAGGTCCATCCTCCTAAGCACATTACAACTGAGATGCAAATCAAATGATCCCTCCTTATTATTCTTGATTGTTTGAGTCTTT